TCTTGGCGTGGATGGCGCACAGGTTGGTGTCCTCGAACAGGCCGACCAGGTAGGCCTCGCTGGACTCCTGCAGAGCCATGACGGCGGAGCTCTGGAAGCGCAGGTCGGTCTTGAAGTCCTGAGCGATCTCCCTCACCAGGCGCTGGAAGGGCAGCTTGCGGATCAGCAGCTCGGTGGACTTCTGGTAGCGGCGGATCTCCCTCAGAGCCACGGTACCGGGCCTGTAACGGTGAGGCTTCTTCACACCGCCGGTGGCCGGGGCGCTCTTACGGGCAGCCTTGGTGGCCAGCTGCTTCCTGGGAGCCTTTCCTCCGGTGGATTTACGGGCGGTCTGCTTGGTTCTGGCCATGGCTAGCGAGAGTCTGCTTCTCTGTTGGAAAAGTAGTAATGCCGTTGACTTGTCTGTGTCTCCTATATAGGCAGAGCAGGCGCGGCAACGACGCTGATTGGTCGAATGTATACACGTGACACTGCAGCTCAACTATTGGTTGGTAGATATTGGAAAATTCAAATTTCGCGCTCATTTGGTAAACTGTTCTTATTATACGTCCATGTGTGTGACATACAGCTTTTTTAACACTTTGTCTATGATACAAAAGTCAAGCAAAGATGAATGATGCAAAAATGATTCTATACATTCATAAACTCTGAATTCTGCATATTGTAATTCATACATATTTTGATGTAAATATTGCTATATTTCTAATGTTATTATAGCATTTAACAGTGTTTTAATATTATGTATGCGAATAAAACACCAAGACAAATTCTAAGTATGTGTTACTTGGCAACAAACCCGTTTATGGTTATGATTTCTGATTCTCTAATAACAAAATAATGTCTTTATATGAAGAAAATAAAGTATATGTTATCTGAGTTTCCTACTATGGAGTCAGCTATTTATAAGCAAAGCGATGACCTGAATCAAATACACTTTCTGTCACAGCTGGTGTGAAATTTGAGTATTAATTTGATGATGACTTTTTTTGGCAATGAAGGATGAAGAAATTGCTTTAATGCATCTTGGAAATACACATCAATTCAATACATGAACATCTTACTTGGTCCTGATATTCACTGCTGACTGGCTTGCTTCATTCACAATGGAAATATAGCATGGTGTAATGCGTGGCTCAGGTATACAGAGAATTGTACTGAATGCTACTTGGGTGAAGTAGAATTCAGCAACATTAATACAGAAGACTTATTGAATAGAGGAAACTACGACCATCCAGCAAAAGGGGCTATATCCTCCTGGGAACAGAGGAAAAAAATGTTTTCCAATCTTCTTTATTTTGTATTTCCTACCTATTTATGGTTAAAAAAAAAAACATCTTGCAATTTAGACTTTTTTAATATAATTTGATTTGTAAATGTCACAGTATGTCCACTGTAGAGGACGTCAGGAACATTTTAGTTTGAAAAGACAGCCAAAATTAACAGATGGACTATGTAAAGTATTATGGTTGTGATATTAATACAAGAATACATTCAGCTTTATTTAAAACATAAATAAGTAATTGATCTCAATACATATAGGGCTGTTCTGGGCCTTTAAGTAGTTGTGTAGTGAAGAGGGACATGTTCTTTAGTTGGATGTGGGTGGCTCTTAAAAGAGCCTTTGGGGTGTTTGTTGAAGCGGGTTCAGGGTGTTCACTTCTTGGCGGGCTTCTCAGTCTTCTTGGGCAGCAGCACAGCCTGGATGTTGGGCAGCACGCCTCCCTGAGCGATGGTCACTCCTCCCAGCAGCTTGTTTAGCTCCTCGTCGTTGCGGACGGCGAGCTGCAGGTGGCGGGGGATGATACGGGACTTCTTGTTGTCCCGGGCGGCGTTTCCAGCCAGCTCCAGGATCTCAGCGGTCAGGTACTCCAGCACAGCGGCCAGGTAAACCGGGGCTCCGGCACCGACACGATGAGCATAGTTACCCTTCCTCAGATGCCTGTGAACACGGCCAACGGGGAACTGGAGCCCGGCACGGGATGAGCGAGTCTTGGCCTTCGCCCTAACCTTTCCTGCACCTTTGCTTTCTTTTTTTTTTTTTTTTTTTTTTTTTTATAAAACTTTATTTTAAATTATTTGGCAGTACATGATATACACAAGTTACATTAATAATACATATAAATCGCAATGCATACATATATAAATAACATAAACAGAGAGAACGTCCATATTCCAGAGAGGCTTAGTTCGGTCACAGCTTCAAAATGCCCCATGGCAGAGTCTGGGATTTGTCCAGGGTTTTTCTTCTCCTTAGTTCAGAGATTATTTGTTTCACGATGGTGCCACTGTTTATTATCGTCTGATTTAGTATCATCTTGCACCTTGTCTTCCAGATTTTCATACATGTTATACAAATTACTAACTGAAAAAGTTCCCTGTGTTTTATGACCATACCCTCATCCAGAATACAATACATGATTGAGGCATATTCTACGTCGAACTCCAAACCGATGCCCCGTAGGAGCGACCACACCTCCTCGGCTCTGTGGCAGTCCATGAGGAGGTGCTGTAAGGTCTCATCTTCCTCACAGTTTATCATGGGGCATGTTTTAGTTTTCACATAGCAGCTCCATGAAACCACAGCTCTGACGGCAAGTCTGTTAACCGATATCAGCCACCTCACGTCTCTCATGCTCTCTGATATCTGTTTACATTTCACTAATTTCAGGACTTCTTTACCTTCGTCAGGGTTTAGGTTTTTGTATGTTATAAAACCTCCATATTTGAAATCATTTACCATTTTAAAAATCACTCTATTCTGTAGTCCGATCCAATCAATCCCTAAATGTTGAACTTCAGTTGTGAAATCACCATAAACTAATTTATAATATGGACTATTTCTAGCTCTGCCTCTTCTTTTGTTCCATCCCTTTTTTCCATCCTCGACCCAAGGTGCTTTCCTATTTATAGCAGCCGAGATGTTTTTTACAAAGGTAATTTTTAGTTTAATGTCCAGGTCTATGGCTCCCAGGCCTCCATATTCCCTACTTTTAAATAACAAATTACGTTTAGTAACCTCCCTTGTTGTACCCCACACCAAATTGACACACTGTTTGTTTAGTTGCATAATTATTTGGGCTGATGGGGGGAAAATGTTTGCTAGAAAAAGGATCTTGCTAAGTATGAATGATTTTATTATGTTTATTCTTGATTTATAATTTGTATTTTTATTCTCCCATTGTTTAACTTGTTCTTTGACTTCTCTTAGTTTGTTCTCCCAATTGAGTTCAGCACAGTTGTCGCTACAAATAGTTATTCCAAGTATTTTAATTTCTTTTTTCACTTGAATGTTGATGTCGCGTTTGGTATCGTCGGCGCCGATCCAAACACCTTCAGTTTTGTTATGGTTCAATTTAGCTCCTGATGCCAATTCATATAGGTTTAGGTGATTTGTTAGAACATCCATTTCTTGTTGGTTTTTTATAATAACAGTGACATCGTCTGCATAGGTGATGGCAGTTATTTTGGGCGCATGGCCAACTGGTGTTCCTGATATTAAACTGTCATTGTTTATTATTTTAATTAATGGATTTATGGCTAGCACGTATAGAGCTGCGCTTAGAGGGCACCCCTGCTTAACCCCTCTTTCAACATTAAATGCATTTGTCAACACACCGTTTACATTTACACAGACACAAGACTTAAAATACAGACACTTAATCATGTTTATGAAGGCTTCAGGAAATCCGTAGGACTTCATCACCGACCATAAATAATCTCTGGATAAATAGTTGAAGGCTTTTTTTTGATCAAGTCCAATAATAAAGAAACCTTTTTCTTTTTTTGGTTTATTTATGATTTCTCTTAAAATTGATAAGTTGTCCCACATAAGGCGACCTTTTATAGCACATGTTTGCTCTTTATCTATTATTTTATCTAATATATCTGTTAATCTATTCATTATTATTTTTGCTAGTATCTTATAATCGGTATTCATAATAGTTAAATGTCTGTAATTATCTATATCAGTTTCATCATTTTTTTTATATAGTAGAGACAAGACACCTTCATAAAATGAGTCACCCATACAACCACTGCTGAGACCTTCATTAAACAACCTTTGCCTCGACCAGACATTTTCTATGTTATTGTTCTTCGACGTTAAGAAGAAAGTAACTCGATCACAGTTCTCACCAGCTTATATAGGAGCGCAGCTGTACGCTCATTGGTCAGATTGATCTGTAACTGTGATCGTCCAATCAGAATACAGGTCAGTCTGCCGCCTGAATTCTTTTCAGAATGAGACGTTAAAGTTTACATTTTTATTTTCTGAAATAGTTTTCACCCGTTCAAAGATGAATATAAACTCCTGTAATTTAAGAAGCGAAAGTCTCAATGTGTGGAGAACATTAAGACATTCATAAAGGTGTCATACTTAATGATTATTTACAGTGTGTAATTAACTTATTAAATAATATATTCCGTATTATAACTCAAATGACACACCCACCTAAATACATGCAGTTGTAACGTTTGGGCTAAATATTTAACGGAAAAAAATGATTATCAGTTGTAGCTTATTTGTGTAGATTGTAATTTGTGTAATGTCTACTTTTGTTATCTTTAATATTTTGAGGTAATCTCTTATTTCGTATTATGTGTATTCATAAAGATCTATAGCGTACGTCTTCTCAAAATGTACATAGCCCAATTTTATTTTAATTATTTTCTTGGTGTTCTTCATTCTGTGTCTTTGTATGCACCAAATATACCAAAGCAAATTCCTTGTATGTGATAACCTACTTGGTAATAAAACCTATTCTCATTCGTATATATACACACACACACACACACACTGTACATACATTATATTTGCAGCACTTATTGCAATACAATATAGCTTTATTTGTAAAGCATTAAAACCTCCAGGTGGAAGTGATTTAGATAGAAATGAAATACAACAATTAGAGCTCAGCTGAAAGTATTACATATGTAAAAATTCTGCTGAAGTAAAATTAACAAAATGTAAATAGTAAAAGCCCAATCACAGGAAGATGATCCAAGTGAGCATAGCAGTTTAATAATAAATAATTTTAAAACCAGCTTTAAAAAAAAAAAAAAAAAAAAGTGTATATGGACGTATATTAGACACTTTGTAAGAGGAACGCAGCAGTAGATGAAGTGGGTGGCTCTTAAAAGAACCGTTGGTTTGTAGCAGTAGCGGCAGCAGGTTACTTGGAGCTGGTGTACTTGGTCACGGCCTTGGTGCCCTCAGACACGGCGTGCTTGGCCAGCTCTCCGGGGAGCAGCAGGCGGACGGCGGTCTGGATCTCCCTGGAGGTGATGGTGGAGCGCTTGTTGTAGTGAGCCAGACGGGAGGCCTCCCCGGCGATGCGCTCAAAGATGTCGCTCACGAAGCAGTTCATGATGCCCATGGCCTTGGAGGAGATGCCGGTGTCGGGGTGCACCTGCTTCATCACTTTGTACACGTAGATGGCATAGCTCTCCTTCCTGGACTTTCTCCTCTTCTTGCCGGTCTTGGTGGCGGTCTTGGTGACCGCTTTCTTGGAGCCCTTCTTGGGCGCTTTGACGCTGGCTGCTTCAGGCATGATCAACGGTTGAGGGTTGACACAGTAGAATGAGTTCACCGACACAGCGTGGTCTATTTATATTCATCCGATGCAAAGGACACTGTGCTGTCGCTCGCACGGGATTGGTTGGGTACTGAGCATGCGCTGAACAAATCACCCTTTGAGCATAGTTTTTGAGAATAGAAGAGAAACATTTACTTTAATTGAAATCTAAATAATGAAATAAACCAAAAAAGACTTGATACATTACAGTATATTGTTTGTTCAGATTAAGATAAAATATAAAACGGTTGAAGAACTTGGTCTATTTTAAAAACTGAAAATGATAACCTAAATCAAGAAATATGATATCATACATAAACAATCAGATACTATATTACCCAAGGCAATCTAGTACACGCCAGTCAAACTGGTCAACAAAGAAAGCATTTCATAGTATTTCTAGAGATTACATGAAGGCTGTCCTGATGCCTTTATTAAAAACCTGTAAATGCCTGAATTGAATCGAGTGTGTGCATTAATGCAAATGTTTTTTAAGTAAAGGGCTTTCTTGTATTTATATATGTGATTGATGTAGTAAGCTAATGATTCCATGTGGAGAGAAGGGCTTTAAACGTAATAAATAGGCTAGGGAAAAGGTAGACATTAGATAATATATCCTCCTGGGACCCGAGGAAAAAAAGTGTCTTCCAATTTCCTTTTTTTTGTGATTTCCTAGGGTTAAAAAAACATCTTGTAATTTAGACTTTTTTTATTTTTAAATGTTACAGTATGTCCACTGTAGAGGACGTCTGGACCATATTAGTTTGAAAAGACAGCCAAAATTAACAGATAGACTATGTAACGTATTATGGTTATAGAGTGATATTAATACAATAATACATTCACCTTTATTTAAAACATAAATAAGTAATTGATCTGAACATTGCTGTTTATTTGGTCAATGAAAAACTACTTTGGTTTTTGGTGAATCTTTCCAGATCTTCAAAGACTTTGTAGTCAATGTAGTGGGAAAAGTACCTCATTGACTCCAGTCGGCACGGGCTGTAGGGTCATCTTGAATAGTTTTATGGATGTGGTCTCCATTTGACCATGCTCATAGAAACAAAGCTTGCATTCCTGAGGCAATTCTCATTTTCCATGGCTCCACTTAAAATAAAAACAACAATAAGACATACGTGCTACTCTTGGCCCACAGAGGGCCATGTCTTTCCAGCTCGTCCCTATCTGTCTCTGTATCTGTGCGCTCATGGAGCCTCCTGCATCTTTCCCCCCCTTCTTCTTGACCCTTTTCTATCCCAGGTGTGAAATCCTCATCTCTCTCATCATCTGAGAGCTCAAAATCTGAATCTCCCGTAACTATCTGGTACAGAAAATGTCTGCTTCAGTTCCGTCTCCTGCAACAATATTGAGTCATTAAGTCCATGAAGATGGTCCTGACGTCGACTAGAATGGACATTTATAAAAGGGCTGTTATTTGAAAACTTGAATTATTTAATTGCTTTCAGAACTAATTATATAGTTCCTCACATGTTAATAAACAAGAACATATATGATTTTCATGGTAAAAATTACAATTATTCAACAATATTTGACTTCTCCTCCTGCTTCTATAACATTTTGTTTTTGGTATGCCAGCCATTTTGGATGAAAAGAAAGAGGAACTTCCCAGCATGTAATTTGAACCAATGACATATCACTGGAAAGACCAGGATGTCCTCTGTACAGTACATCAGGGACTGATAGATGTCCTCTGTACAGTACATCAGGGATTGATAGATGTCCTCTGTACAGTACATCAGCGACTGATAGATGTCCTCTGTACAGTACATCAGGGATTGATAGAGTAGCTCAAAAGAGTAAAAGGAGATGCATGTTAACAAAATGTCCACTACAGTGGACATTTTCAATGGGCTGGGTCCCAGATATTTCCAAAACCTAATGTAAATATTGAAATAACAGAAAAGAGGTGAGAGTGGACAACAATGCTAACAATATTTTAGACATTTGTTTTTGGATATCTGAAGTATAAGCACTAATAGAGCATGGTATAATGACAACCTGGCAGGATATCTTGAATAACTGAGTGTCACGATTAATGTAAACAATTATTTCCGAGGCACACGTTTATATGATCATTATAGTTATAAAAAAATAAGAGAATAAATGAAAAACAGGTATCAAATACTATATGACAGTAAAAAAAGAATACAGTTTAAAAGGGGAGTGATTTGTAAAATATCCATAAAGAAAAAGTAAATCTGTTTACAGTTCTGTTTCAAATGGGTGTTGAGAGATGTATCCATAGATCTCTTCATGTTGCTCTCAAAGTGCACCAGATTGATGCTTTTAACTTCAATATTTAAAAAAAAAATCTTCCCGGGGGAGCATGCCCCTGGGCCCCCCTATAAAAACAGCACTCTACCCCTGCTTACACCTATATGCCGTGAGCTGATTATCGAGCCTTCATTGTGAGTCGCAGGTGTACTGTGTATTTGCGTGGGGATTGTTGCAGTAGAAAGTTCCACTGTAGCACCCGGTACATTAATGGGAAACCCTGAATGTTTGAGCACCCTCTATGAAACGTCAAGCTACCCTACAGCACCCCCAAAATAAATCTCTGGCGCCGCCACTGAGCCTGCAACCCCGATTTGAAGAAATGTGCAGTGCCAAACAGGCTCATTGCAGCCACTAATGATAAGACACACTTTTTTGCCAATTATCAGCATTTTCTTTCTTTTCATTTTTTTGAACAGATTGCAATGTATTATAATGTATTGTTCTGGCAAAGGGATTGCACAATTGTATTATGTATTTATTTTTTTGAGCACACAGACTTATGGAGCATTGTTTTATTATCACTGTTCTAGCAAAGTGATTTTTTTTAAAGGAATGCTCACGTTCATATTGATTTTAATAAATGTTAACTTGGCCCATTACGTGACTATTTGTGTTGGGGGGGGGCTCGACTTTTTTTTTTTCGCCTGACAGAAAAAGTTTGAGAACCACTGCTCTAAGGCTATCGCTATAGAGTGGCAAAGTCCCTCCCCGATCCCGTTTGAATTGTGCCACGAATTACACATATGTTGTTTGTCAATTTAAAAGATAATTTTGCAAGTCAAAAAAAAAAAAGTGTCGTAAAACTGTGAAGTAACACATTTGTTTGTGTGAAACGCTCAATGAACTACATCTCTGGTCTCACAGAACAACACACGTCACCAAGATGGCCGTCACTACTGTCTTGTCAACAAAACGATTGACTACCCTCACTATCACCACAATGAAACACGTCCTGAAGAATGTCATGCAAAGCTGCCTGCCTGAGTTCCTTTGATTCTCTCTGAACTGCCTGGTCGTTTTAATGTTTAATGTCAACCATTTGTGCAGATAGCATGAAGTAGAGAAGATCGCCGATGCTAGCGTTAGCGTTAGCATTTCTCCCCCGGGCTTAAATTGTGTATTATAGAATGATCACACCGGTGACAGTACTATTCAAAGGGTTCACAAAATATGACTACTACTCTTACTGTTTAACATTTTGGGTTACTTAATGTTACTTTATGTTAAGGCTAATAAAAATGACACGGCTGTAATGCTAACTAACGTGCTAGCTACTAGCTAGCTTGATCCAGACACTCCTGGTCCTTTCATCAGACGGGAAGCGAAAGAACGAGCAAGACCCATTGCTGGTATGATAACAACCTGGTACTAAGCACACAGGCATCTTGTTAAAGTTATCTTATCTTAGCCAGCGCCATATAGATAGATTCTATCTATATGGCGCTGATCTTAGCTATCTCTTACGGAACGTCGACACAGCAGCGTTAAAAAAATCTTGGAGGTGGGCGTATCTGAAGCTTGGGGATTTTTTGCGAACAACCAATCACATGAATCTCCCGCCCGCGACATACGAAGCAAAAAAGCCCGAAGTAAACTGGATATAAACTCCCCAAAACAGGCGAAAACATACCACTGTCTCTGCCACCTCCCTCCATGCCTGGCTCCTCCGGTTTATATCCCGGTAGGTCTGGTCATAAAGCACCGGGTGATTGATTCGCTACCGCTAATTTCTCCTCCATTTTTTGGAATATGAGGAAATGACCTGCGGTATGTCTCTCCCAGCATACACGCCGTTTGATTGGCTAGAGCTTGAACGGTCAGATTTGCGTACACGGGATTTGATTGGCTGCCGCTTCCACCTCAGCTTCAAAAGTTGAACATTGTTCAACTTTGAATCCTCAAAATTCTGAAAATCTCCGCTCGCCTGCCCACAATGCATTTCGGCGAAAAGGGAGGGAAAGTGACGTCACTCCATTCAAAGTGAATGGGCAGAAGCGTTTCAAGATTTTTTTAACGCTGCTGTGTGGACGTACCGTTAGTGGAGGAAAACAATTGTGTGTCACTTACGCGACTCTGGGATTTGTAGTCTTTCTAGTTGCGTATTTTTCATAGTCTTATATTTCAACAGTTTTACGACAAGCTGTGACTTTTTTGACATGGAAATTATTTTTTAAGATTTACAAACATGTGTAATTCATGGCACAATTCAAACAGGATCGAAAGATAAGTTTTCTCTCTCCATTGACTTCAATACATTATTTTTCCGAAATAAGGTCCCATGGACCGGAAGTAGATGGGCGTGACTTCGACACTCTATTTGCGAAGCAGGATGTAGACATATGCCTGCGACACAGCCAAGCCCCCAGGAAGTGCGCCGGACTCTGATGAAAATATTCGTGCTGGCCAAACGGCGGTACTACACTTCCTTTTGGTTGCCAGGCCCGGAAACACTTTTTCCCATTGACTTACATGGGGAAAGAGTGGTCTGTAAATCGTTGGATAATTTTTTTTAAACTAAATAAACTACCCAGTATGAACACTTGTATAGCCCTTATTAAAAACATTCGTTCCTCAAGTTGTAAAATGTGCTAATAACGTTATTCTGAGAGTTATTTCCCTCTGCATTATGAACGCGCATCTAACCCACGGGACCGCGCCGCCCGGCACGTTCATGTTACGTGTTCAGCACTACATGAGTTTATCTTTACCCATGGATGCACAATAAGAACGGACCCATATCGCCTTACTGCCAGCCCACGGAGCTGTAATAATGGATATATTGCACATGTTTGCTGTAATTCATCATTTGTAAAATATTATACTACATGGGCTGTATGATTAAATCTTGTACCGTAAATGTTGTATTAAATAAAGTTAATATTACCGACGTAGATTAACGTCCCTGTAGCTTCTTATTGCACTAAGAAGCTTATTGCACTGTGTGTGTATGTGTGTATATATATATATATATATATATATATATATATATATATATATATATATATATATATATATATATATATATATATATATATATATATATATATATATATATATACAGTGCAATAATTATTTCATGCTAAATGAAGCTCTGTTGCTTGGATATCACTAGATCCTGTTACAGCGTAATATAAAAGTACATAACGATTGATGTGTAAATTAGCATAATTACTAGCTAACCGCTAGCTGCTAACTGCAGCCTCGTTAATATCAAATCTATCATAACAAACATTACCATGCTGTCATGAACGTGCGGTGCTGTTACGTGTACGCAAATTGACGTGCTTGATGTGAACGAGCATTTTGGGGGGCATGGTTAAAGTTGCGCATGCGCTATGAGCGCACATACGGGTACTTCTCAGGCATGCCGGGTAATCTGTGACGTTTCGCTCTCTCAAAAGTTGGGCCATTTTATCATCATGCGCGAATGAGCAACTCTCATAGGAATGAATGAGGCCCCGCCTCCCACGCTGTATCCAGTTCTTATTATACATCCATGGACACAGCCAGTGTTTACCCAATAGTCCCCTCGTTATAATGTTAAATAAAGGAAAGAGTGAAAGTTGGTTTATCCTCTCGATCCAGTTCAAATCACTTTACTTCTATTCTAGTAAAACATTTTTTATAACACATCATATTTGCCATTATTATACCTTTAGTAATAACAAGGATTATATCCATTTTAAAGAATGAATTTTGATGAAATAGTAAAGGATAATAAAGACGTTAATAATTCAGTAATTTGGACAGAGGCTCTTAAAGTAAAGTGGGTGGCTCTTAAAAGAGCCTTTGTGTGTTTCAGTCAGCATGAGTTTATCCCCCGAAGCCGTACAGGGTGCGGCCCTGCCTCTTCAGAGCGTACACCACATCCATGGCGGTCACAGTCTTCCTCTTGGCGTGCTCGGTGTAGGTGACGGCATCACGGATCACGTTCTCCAGGAACACCTTCAGCACACCGCGGGTCTCCTCGTAGATCAGACCGGAGATACGCTTCACTCCGCCACGGCGAGCCAGACGGCGGATGGCGGGCTTGGTGATGCCCTGGATGTTATCACGGAGCACTTTACGGTGGCGCTTAGCGCCTCCTTTGCCGAGTCCCTTTCCGCCCTTGCCTCTTCCTGACATAATTGCAGAGTTATGATATACTCACCATGGATATCGCCCATATTTAAAGCTGATATGCGGACCTGGTTGAAGACACCCTGGTTCATTCTAGCCCGCCATTTTGTTCTGTTCCTTTGTTCCCTCTCTGCTGCTCTTTTCACACACCGTGAGCCGATGCGTTTCCGGTTACGACAACCATCCTTCAAAATAAAAACCAGCAAATGGTTTCACAACTTCAAATTTTGACACAAGCAATAAAATAATCTAATTCTCAAATAATGTCAGATGTATCTCATTTATTTAGTGCGTGTATTACACCATATTATCCTCCAACATTGCCTTTTGTAGGCATGATGCCAGGCTGGGATGTTGACCAATTGAACAGCTTTTAACAACCAACTGCTATTTTGTTTTTTAATATAATTATTTCACATTTAAATGTAATATTTACATAAGCTTATATATTGTTAGAAATTGTATATGTATCTTAAAGTTAGTGATATTGCATTATTAAAACTGGTTTACATGTTTCTCAAATAATTCCTCAGAGACCGAGTTAGGGTGTGTAGTTTTGTAAAATATTATAGCAACTCAAAGATATTGTTAAGACATGTCAAACTTTCAGAGCAATTGAAAGTACATTTCTTATAAATGTTGTCGTGACCACAAAATACAAGGCGACCAAGCAAACCCACATATTGTGAAACACGCCCAGACACAGATATGTAAGTAAAAATAAATGCAGAAATACATTAAAGATATATAATAATGTGTGTTCTGTTTTATTCTCAATTTTTATTTTTGTATTTATATTCCTTTTTTCCCCTGTATTTATGCATTTCATTTATTGTTTTACTCATGTCACGTTCTTTCCTCCATAGCTGTGTACTCGTTGTGTGCATAAAGGTACAAATTCACTCAAAATCACAGCAGGAACTTTAGTTGGGCGTTTGTTGTTTTGGGCTCAACACATACCTTATTTTGGTTTCAAAACCTGCTTAAAGTGGACCTATCATGCTATATTTGAATAATATAGTGTAGGACCATACCTATATAAGGCATATTTATACTTTTTTTTTTTTTAAATACCAAACAGCTCATGCATTTTAGCCATGCCTCATTTCGCTCAATTTGAAAAATCAAGGGCTGATTCTGTGAGAACAGCACCACCTACAGGCCTGGCATATGTACTACAGCGTCTCCAGCGCTTTCGAACGGCAATGGCCGTGGCTGTCTCCTCCTGATTGGTGGAGTGGGCCCAATAGCCGTAGCGCCACTGTCCTGACGTCAGGACAGTGTTCAAATCTGGATCAGTTTTTATCAGATCCGTTGCAGCCCCTTTTTTAGAGATTTGGGTATGGAGGAAAATAGAGAGGGTTGTGTTTTCTGACACTTGGTGAGTTCCCTGGAACACCGGGGACACATATTCATGTATAAAAGACGTACACAAGTGCATTTTGCATGATAGGTCCCCTTTAAGTTTAGCATCAAATGACACATCCCCATTGTAGCCATCCACAGACAGATGGGAGACGACGAGTGGGAAAATGGAATGCAGGAAGTGTTGATTGGCAGAGAAAGTAAATTAAGAGTGAATGGCAGTGTTTTCAGGTAGAATCAGCATGTGGGCCGTGGCTCAGGTGGAAGGCAGCTGACTTCCAGCTGAATGTAATAATGTAGTTAATAAATGTATACGTTGATGTTGTTGAGCCTTTCTGAGGCTATAACATGGTTAAAGGTAGGGTAGGTAAGTTTGAGAAACCGGCTCGAGATACACTTTTTGTTATATTCCATGGAATGCTCTTAACATCCCGATAGGAATGAATATCTGAAGTGCTTTGACAACAAATCCATAAAAAAATGTCATCTGTGGAAGCCGTAATACTGTAAAAAGTACGACCAATCATCTGAGCCGGCCCGGCTAAAATAACTGGATGGCCTACCTGCCTGTCAGCCTTCCATCTGTGCACAAACTTATCTCGTGCCCTCATTGGTCATGTGCACGTTCGTGTGTGTTGGAGGAGGGGCTCTATAAGGAAGTGGCAGATTTTCTTCGGTTGTGTATTTTCAAATTCTAGCGATCTCGAGCCGGTTTCTCAAATTTACCTACCCTGCCTTTAAGTTTACAAATAACATTTAGGAATAGAAATCCCTGTTTACAAAAATGTCTGTTTGCAGTGTTTAGCAGCCTCCTTAGGCTTTTCAATCGTTAAACTTGAATAAATACAATATTGATTACATGAAAATATGATTGAATCTTCATGGTTCAGTTATTCTAAGGCTTTACTCATTGGGAACTGTAAAAGAAAGATCACTGTTGAGATGTCTCATCTGCCCATTTTACACACTTTGACTGACAGGGGGGTTGTGAAGCCTCATGAGATTAACCCTTTTGAGAAACAATGGGCTGCAATTCTTCAAATCTTCACCATCATTATATTAATTTCTCTGTACATCAAGTTTATTGCAGGTACATTTACACATACATATCTGCTTTGGTGTAGGATGGTGCAAACAAAAAGATAATAAGCTTGTAAGTAGGTAAAAATAAGATATATCATTACTGGTATGAGACGATCAAACATTAGGTTCAAGTATGTATACAAAATGTAAAATGTATTATACATCACCTAATACATATGTACTACTTAACACAATCAATGACATGCAACAGTGTACTGTAGTTTAAAGTGGAAACTGTAGAGCAGAGAATATTTATACAGTTTTACTGTCTAAAACTATCTTGGTTTGACACATAGAATTTGCTTTTCAAGAGATGTGGGTGGCTCTTAAAAGAGCCTTTGGGGGGCTTGTTGAAGCGGGTTCAGGGTGTTCACTTCTTGGCTGCCTTCTCGGTCTTCTTGGGCAGCAGCACAGCCTGGATGTTGGGCAGCACGCCTCCCTGAGCGATGGTCACTCCTCCCAGCAGCTTGTTCAGCTCCTCGTCGTTGCGGACGGCGAGCTGCAGGTGGCGGGGGATGATACGGGTCTTCTTGTTGTCCCGGGCGGCGTTTCCAGCCAGCTCCAGGATCTCAGCGGTCAGGTACTCCAGCACAGCGGCCAGGTACACCGGGGCTCCTGCACCGACACGCTGGGCGTAGTTACCCTTCCTCAGATGCCTGTGGACACGGCCAACGGGGAACTGGAGCCCGGCACGGGATGAACGGGTCTTGGCCTTGGCTCGGGCCTTTCCTCCGGTCTTGCCTCTTCCTGACATAATAACAATTATTCTTTCGTAAATTAATCTAAGAATGCTTAACTTCTGTGGCAGCCATCTTTACATACCTACCAACGGCTCAGGGCTCACCGTTTATTGGTTCCATGCAGCGGGAGTCAGATCGTCCAATCAGAAGCGAGTTTGAAAATACCATGGAGATCGTAGGACTTCCGCCCGCAGACTCTGGGGATTTACAAAATAAGACGTGACAGGAACAATAAGCCAATATATGAACAATACATCATTATATTAATTTATATAAAAAATACACCAATCAAATAATACCTAAATACCACAAATACAAAAGAGTATTTGTTTGTATTGTATGTATTTCTCTGTACAGCATTTGGTCTGGAGGTTTAAATGTGCTTTGCAAATAAAGCTGTGATTTTTATTTAAAAATAATCTCATTAATCTTCATTAGATATCCATCAAACCTTACCCTAAGCGACAGTTACATAAAAAAGACTGATGTCAACGTTTACATTTTATAATAATGAACAGAAGAGCTGTACTCAATGATGTGAAGTATACGAGTGATTCTATCATTTAGGGTGCATTTCACATCAACAAAACAGTACAAAGAAAGTGTTCTTTCTCAATAGAACAATCAGTGGTTCAAGTTAGTATATTCTTCAGTGTAACATATCCACTAGTTGCAAAGCTTAAACATTTTTTTATTTTATTTTATTTTAAGGGAAAGGATGTTTTCACTACTCAGTTTGTCAACTATGTTACGGACAAACTTGATGTCATTACAATCATTTGATTAAGTCCTGCACTTCAAGTAAAATCACATTTGAAAGGCTCTTGAGTCTATTCTACCATATATCCAAAGATTTTTTAAAGTTTAAAAAATAATTGTATTAAAGTTTTGTTTTTTCATGTGATATGTTCAGCACTGTCATTAAGTTTAGGGATATTATAAAACTACCATACAGGTCATTTTGATAGTTTTAAGAGATGTCATGTAAAACTCCAACCTGTGTAGATATACATTATACTATAAAGGATATCAGAAGCACTATTTTAGATATTTTAAATTTGAAAAAATGAGGTGCAACATAGTTGACAATGAAAGTCAAACATTTGACGCAAATAAAATAGTTGACTGGACACATTATTAACCATCAGCACTATGTTAATTTCAAGGCAGAAGTGCAAAATTCCATTGATAATGATGTGTAATGACGTCTACATGTCCTACAAATTGTCAACTAGGTTACCTGTCAACTAAGTTACTACAGTTATTACAGTACTGGGTAACTCAGTTGACAGGTAACTTAGTTGACAATTTCCCTATTTTGACCCATCATTTCAATGGTAGGCCTTGCTTGGATGACCACATGTCATTTTCTTGAACAGGTTAACATCACATTTGAACATATAATTGAATTAAAATCATAAAACAATTGTAAACCATAACAATGTACGTAACATTGTTGATTGTCAATGAGTATATTAATTGACCATGTGCTATTATACATAAAATATTGTAAAAAATTAGAGGACAATCACCACAGTGTGTTCAAAATGTCTGCCAAAGAGGAACATGGCATCATGTGATGCTGGTGACATGGTATTGGGACAAACCATTTTTGAGTTAAAGGGGGGAGTTCTCTTAGTAACATAGTTGACACAACTTTTGCGGACATTCATATATTAAGATATTTAAATTATTTAAAGGAGGAAATCAATTAAAAAGATGTTATTATTCTTTAGTATTTAGACTTTTGAAATAAATGAATACTTTTTTTAATTTACTTTAATGGTTTTTATTCATTATTTTGAAACCAAGACACCCTCAACTGAAAAACGGACAGAGCAAAAATTGACAATTTAAGAACATCATGACACATTTCAAGCTAAATAAAGCATAGGATACACATAATGTTTGTGTGATATTATAACATGCTTTCCAATAATAGGCAAAATATGATATTTTTGAAGAAAATACTTAGAATAATTATAATTATCATCAATGGACATCAATGGACATGGAATGTACCCTAAATTGTAGAATCACTCATAAACAAACACAAATGTCAATCGGCATGAAATTGAGCTCTTGTATGAACACTGTAATATAATTTATAACGTTTGACAGTACAGGTTTTCTAGAAAGTGAGTGAATCATGCAGGAATAAGCTTTAAAATATTAGATTACCCTCATGTGTACTGGCACAAAAACACTGACTTGAATGATGGCATAAAACCACCTTCATCATATTTTATGTTCATGTATTTGGGAGGCGTGTGGTGCAGTGTACTAGTGTGTTGGTGTTGGGATGAGGGGAGCACTGGTTCAAACCCCACTGCAGTCAGCATGTCGTTGTGTCCCTGAGACACCTCACCCCAAATTGCTCCTGTGGGGATTGTCCACAGTGTTGAGTATGTAAGTCGCTTTGGATAAAAGCTCTAACATGTAACATGTAATGTAATGTATTTGTTTGATATATAATTATTATGTTTACAGACAGCCAGCATACAGATCGAAATGAACAATGAAAAGTAGTTGTTTATGGAGCTTTTTTTATTATTATTTTATTTACGAGCTTATATCACCTTAGGCAGCTAGCCAAAATGAAACCTTTTCTCTCCAGACAGCAGTTTGAGACGGTAATCCACGCCTTTGTCACCACTCGGCTGGATTACTGTAACTCCCTCGCTCGTCTGCAGCGGGTGCAAAATGCAGCAGCAAGGCTTTTAACTGGCACACGGAAATACGACCACATTTCCCCCATTTTGGCTTCGCTCCACTGGCTGCCAATACATTTTAGGACTCATTTTAAAATCCTTTTATTTACTTTTAAATCCCTAAATGGCATGACCCCACCATATCTTTCTGAGCTGCTACACCCTTACATGCCAAACCGCCATCTCAGGTCAGCTGATCCTCCTGAATGTGCCCAGAACCAGGTCAAAGCTCAGAGGGGGCCGTTGCTTCTCTGTAGCGGCTCCCACACTGTGGAACGATCTGCCCCTGCACATCAGACAGGCCTCCACACTGCCTACTTTTAAATCGCTTCTTAAAACCCACCTCTTCTCCTTAGCGTATTAACATCTTTTAGATTCTTGCTTTTATTGCTTTTAAATTGTCTATTGTTTTTACTTGTACTTGTTTTATGGTGTTTTGTTTGTTTATTTGACTGTACAGCACTTTGGTCTGGAGGTTTAAAGTGCTCTATAAATAAAGCTGTATTGTATTGTATTATTATTATTTTTTGTTATAATTCTTATTTTATTTATTATTAGTATTTTATTATTACTTTTATGAAATTTAATTAATTTTATTTGTATTTAATTTGTTTACCCAAACGACTCACCTTTTATTGATTTTGTTTAATGGATTTGTATTATTATTTTTTCATAATTATTATTCATTATCTTGATTATGTTATACTTTTTTAGTTAAATTATTTATTGTATTGTTTTTATTAAAATATGTTATTATTATTTTTTATTTTTTTATAATTATATATGTTTTTAATATACAGCACATTACATGTTTTCGGGACACAGCAACATGTTGACTGCAGTTGGGATTGAACCAGTGCTCCCCTGATCTGAAGAACAGCGCACTAACCCACTGAGCCACAGCCTCATTATTGTATTTAATTTTAACCACTTTTTTGTACAATGATTTAATTTTATTTGTTTTATTATTATTTCATTAAATAATCATAATAATATTGATACATTTTTTACATACATAAATATATTTTTTATTTTGTTCTGTTTTTATATTATTACTTTTTTTTGGCTTGATTATTTAATTCTTAATTGTTTTAAACAAGACATTTCTCCAACCCACATTCCCACCGAAATCACAGTGCTGATGGATGGGTACAATTTTGAAACATACCATGGGTGTTTCTCAATGTCGAGGACGCTTCCTTGGTAGGACATGTCTTCCGAGTCAGGTCCTTCAGAAGCAAGGCAAGAATCCCTCCTAGCCTCGGAAAACGAAGAATGGTGGAACAGGCCAACAGGTGTGCGTCATATGCGAGGCCCCGCCTTAAATGGAGCGCGATTTCCGCCAAAGATTTTGGAAATTGGTCCGTGCGCAAAGCATTGTGGGGATTTTAAGACTGCGGAGGATACACATGTGCAGCCTTGAAATTTCCCACAACGAAGGACGCCGGCCTCGGTAGGATTACAAGCATCCTGGACATTGGAACAGTCCTTCGGCGGGACTCGATGACGTAGCATCCTTGAAATAGTGGCTCTGGAGGAGCCTTCCTCCACATTGAGAAACACCCCCTATTTGGTTATGGTCTGCCTGCTCTAACCACTGAGCTATACAGCTGTCAGCTAGTTTGAAATGTATTTACTTTTGTAGGTGTTGTGGTGTCCTTCGGAGGTTTTATTACTGTCATTATTTTACGCAGGCAGACCCACAACTACGTCTTTTATTGATTTTTGAAATGTTTTAGTTGTAATTTTTTTCTTATCTTTTTCAATATTATAAATTCAATATAGCATTATTTTCATTATTATCATATAACTTTTTATGTATTATTTAAAATATCATTATTTTTTTGCAATTGTTGTTATACTTTATTGTAAGTCTTTATTGTTATGTTTGTACTATGATTTTTGTATTTAATGTTTTCATTTTATATTATTTATTACATTTTTATTAATTATTAAGAGAACTCTGTGTACTTGTGAGTTGACCACCCTTGACCGCCCTAACACGATGTTCACCATTTCACCCACACACATGCCATCTTGCCTCCCACCACACTGCACTCTGCCATGCTGGGAGTTGAACCACCAACCCTCTGGTTGTTAGAATCCTTTTACCGCTTCAGCCAAAGACACCAGTAAATATTCCTGTCAAATTTCACCGGATTGGCTTCTATGTTTATTAGGGTTACAAGGCGACACAAAGATATTGTTAAAGAACATTTGTTTGAACTCATCCTCAGAAGTAACCATCAATCTTTCACATCTGTTCCAGAATAACCCAAGGCTACCAGGACGAGTGGAGCTGGGTTTCCTGAATATGTCATTTAGAGAAAACTGGATTTAAGCCTCTGTTTCTTTCTAACTTTACCGAATTTCAGTTTTTCTTTTTTATTTCTTTCACTTCAATTACCACAGCCTCTCTATTTCCATAAGATATGCAATGGAGTCTGCCATTTTGCCTCTCAAATGTTGGGGATTTGAACCGCTGACCCCCACATTGGTATCCATTTACTCCGTGCGCCAAATACACCCTGATGTGTTTAATCAAACGTTTACTGTCTGGGCTCATTCGTATATTAGGGTTAAAATGGTACTTGATTACCTGAATTATTATTACCTCCATTCAAACAACAAAACGGTAATCTCGATTGCGACGCTCCGGCTATGAATTCATCAATACTTAACAGTCTGTGGTTGAGAGGAAGAGCTGTTGTCTTTGAGTCAGAAGGTGGTGGGTTCGATCCCAGCTGTTATCATGTTGATTTATCCTAGTGTGAATTGTGATGCTTGTTAAATGTGTGTGTGATCTCACGGCTATAGTGGAGAAGAGCTTCAAAATCAAAGACCTCAAACCTGTTAGAAATCCCAGCCATTACACTCAGTTTTAGGTAGCAGCAAAACCTTTAATAGAAACACAATTTTTGTAATACATCTTCCAAATAAAAGGGGGGACTGGTTATAGCAACTTAAAGATATTGTTAAAGACACGTGCACAACTTTCAGAGCAATTGAAAGTACAATTATTATAAATGTTGTCGTATCCACAGAATACAAGGCGACCAAGCAGAACAACACTGTGTGAAACAAATAAAGATATGTGTTTTAGTTATACATTTATTTATTTAGTGTTTATTTATTGCTGTATTTATTTCTGTTATGTTAACATGTATTTATGCATTTATTTATGTTACTTATGTCATGTTCTGTCCTCAATACCTGGCTGCAGTGCTCGTTGTGTGCTAAAGGTTCAAATTCACAGTAGAGGTCTATGCATTGGTTATTCATGCAGGTGCTCAAGGTTCAACACCCAGGGGGGGGGGGGGCATATTTTGTCTTCTGCTATGCGGATGTTAAATGGAGAAATTGTCCCCACCACTGTTTATAACAAAGTGATGCCCATGGTAATGACAATGAAAACCTTCACAGATCAGTTGATTCTGCAGTATATGACATGTTGTACACCTCAATACATATAGGGCAAGATCACTGTTCTGGGCCTTTAAGTATTTGTGTAGTGAAGAGGGGAATGTTCTTTAGTTAGAAGTGGGTGGCTCTTAAAAGAGCCTTTGGGGTGTTTGTTGAAGCGGGTTCAGGGTGTTCACTTCTTGGCGGGCTTCTCGGTCTTCTTGGGCAGCAGCACAGCCTGGATGTTGGGCAGCACGCCTCCCTGAGCGATGGTAACTCCTCCCAGCAGCTTGTTCAGCTCCTCGTCGTTGCGGACGGCGAGCTGCAGGTGGCGGGGGATGATACGGCTCTTCTTGTTGTCCCGGGCGGCGTTTCCAGCCAACTCCAGGATCTCAGCGGTCAGGTACTCCAGCACAGCGGCCAGGTACACCGGGGCTCCGGCACCGACACGATGGGCGTAGTTACCCTTCCTCAGATGTCTGTGGACACGGCCAACGGGGAACTGGAGCCCGGCCCGGGATGAACGGGTCTTGGCCTTCGCTCTGGCCTTTCCTCCGGTCTTGCCTCTTCCTGACATTTTCTGTTTAGGTTAGCAGAAAACAACATTTCTTCAACGATAGGTGGTGGTATATATAGTCAACATCTGGCCGCTGATTGGTCAGGTGGAGCGGTACTACCATCGACCAATCAGAGAAGCATTAGTCCATTCACTGTGTCAAGTACAATAGACCTCACATAATTAAATCATCGAATAACATATAAAATAGATCTATACACATATACTCAAACAATATAGTGTATTCTTAGAGAAATATTATAAAAATAAAGTATACTTTAAAGGATCAAAGTGAAGCACACTATAAAGGTAGTTTGGCATGCTGAAGTGACAAAACAAATGAACAATGTGACCATTAAAGTATATCCAATATAATCTAATTTAATTATTAAACGTACAAATTAAAGTAAAATAATTAATTTATTAACAAAATCAGGAGCTAATCCGATCTCCTCAAGTAAAAGTGAATTAATGTGTAATAATATAGTCACAATTATATGTAGCATTAAATAAGTTTCAGTCCACACATTAAAATAAAATGAAATACTATGTACATGTATATGAAGTTATATAGGCCTACAAAATATTTACATAGGGTTTATACACAATCAAGTATATGGGAAAATATGTATGTTGTGAGTGACTAAAGAGGAGCCTTCTGTAAAGTAGATGTCTACTAATATAGCAACATAATAAAATGTGTTGTAAAAAAAAATGTAAAACGATTATATGACAGTATTAATGATATAGAATTCAATGTTACAATAATGTTAATAAATATCGTTTTGATTGAAGTGATCTTCTAATTAACTAACTTATACGATAATGATAAATAGCCACAATGTCTTCTGGTTTTCCAAATAAATATGTAGCAGGTGTAAACAAATGTAATATTAAAACAGGAGAAGTGCTCTTTTGGTGTATGTGGGTGGCTCTTAAAAGAGCCTTTTGTAGATGATCTGTTTACTTCCTCGATGCTTTCCTGGCTGGTGCCTTCTTCGTTGGTTTGGCAGCTGGTTTAACCACCTTCTTCACAGCTTTCTTGGGGGTTACTGTCTTCTTGGGGGTAGCTGCCTTCTTGGGTGCTGCCTTCTTGACCGCCACCTTCTTCGGGCTCTTTGTGATCTTCTTCACGGGGGTTTTCTTAGCAGCAGTAGCAGGCTTCTTCGCCTTCTTGGGTGTCACTGCCTTCTTGGCGGCTGGCTTCTTTGCGGCGGGTTTCTTCGCTGCTGCTGCTGCCGGCTTCTTGGCTTTGGCTGCGGGCTTCTTCGCTACCTTCTTGGGCTTCTCGGCGGCCTTGAAGGAGCCGCTGGCTCCGGATCCCTTGACCTGCACAAGTGATCCCTTCTCGAGTAACCTCTTGACTGCGCGTTTAATGTGAACGGTGTGTTCGTAGCCCTGAGCGGCCAGCGCCTTCTTCAGAGCCTGGTAAGAAATACCTTTGCGGTCCTTGGAGGCGGTGACCTCATTCAAGATGAGCTCAGCGGCTCCGGGACCAATCTTCTTGGCCGGCTTGGCTGCCTTCTTCTTCGGGGACTTTGCTGGTGCCTTTGCTGGTGCCTTTGCTGGTGCCTTTGCCGGGGCGGCGGCGACGACGGCGGCGACTTCAGTGGGAGCTTCTTCTGTTGCCATGATGCTGTTAGGATGATTCTCGGTGCTAGTCTGATGAGACGGATAGAGAAATCCCAGCGAAGAGAGGAACTTAAACGCACCATGAGAACCGTAGAGACTCAACTCAGTGTCTCACACAGGAGCTGCAGAAAAACTGTGCCACTTTGTGCTTTCTCTTCAGCTAAAACTGTAAAAAATACACATTTAGAGAACGAGTTGAATTGCAAAGGCTAATCGAATTGATAGCGGATGACTTTATCTTCATATAGAAGAGAAATAAATCTTTAAATAGTGTTGTGTTTTTATTGGGAAGCCTTTAAACCTCCTAAAACTACTGCCGTGAGAAGGACTAATCTGCGACTTTTTCCTATAAATGATCTCCTGAACAACCTAAAATACTTTATATTCCCACTAAAACTAGTAATATAGTTAGGCGAGATGTTGGTTTAAAGACTCAAGGTGAAAAAAGGCAGCATTTGTAAACAATTATTTGTTAAACAGAGGTTATTCTGCTGTCTGCAAACACACTCACATCAGGACAGGCCCTGGCTGTGTTCTATATACAGTCTTTGTTACTCAACAGTGAGAGACCTTAATTTAGCACAGCTTTTCTCATGTATATAACAATTCAACTATATTGATATAGTATGAGTAGTATGATTTATAATAACAATCTGAAATGTGTTAGACAGATTATATATCTAACCCTGTAATGACAGAAAGGCTCTCATACAGACACGTACTCCCTCTGGTAGTATATGAACTCCCTTTAACTGTCAAACTTGTTTTTTTTCGAATTCTGAGAAAAATGGAAAGTAATTTATACTTGACGCATACACAGGGGATCATGAAATCAAATGAATAATACCCATAAAACCTGTTTGTGTTATACTGTGATCAGAATAATTACATTCAAGGAGATTTAGAAACGTGTGACCCTTGTTTGATATAATTTGATCAGTACAAATTGCTGCCCTCTTATTGCTATTGTGTTTTTACATTTAAGATACTTCTGACCATAACTGTCATAAAATGCTTTGAATATGCAATATAATCTGAGGTATTGTTCTAATTTGTCAAGAGATGTGCTATTTTTTGGTATAATTTATTTAATGAGAAAATGCAAATTTCCCTGTTTTGTGGTGAATAAAGATTATCCTATGCTAAATTCCCCTATCCCTTATTTCTTGTTTCTTTTTTACTTATGTGCAAAAAAATATAACGGATACATCGCCTTTTTTAAAGGTAGGGTAGGTAAGTTTGAGAAACCGGCTCGAGATACACTTTTTGTTATATTCCATGGAATGCTCTTAACATCCCGATAGCAATGAATATCTTAAGTGCTTTGACAAAACATCCATAAAAAAATGTCATCTGTGGAAGCCGTAATACTGTAAAAAGTACGACCAATCATTTTAGCCGGCCCGGCTAAAATAACTGGATGGCCTACCTGCCTGTCAGCCTTCCATCTGTGCACAAACTTATCTCGTGCCCTCATTGGTCATGTGCGCGTTCGTGTGTGTTGGAGGAGGGGCTCTATAAGGAAGTGGCAGATTTTCTCCGGTTGTGTATTTTCAAATTCTAGCGATCTCGAGCCGGTTTCTCAAACTTACCTTTAAGAACCAATCTCATGGAAAATGAGCATTATGAGTTGGGCAACGACCTAAACAACTGCAGTTCAGACAGATCAAAAAAAGAGGCGAGTATACAGTATGTAAGTATAAAATCACACATATAATAATAATAATAATAATAATAATACATTTTATTTTTAGGCGCCTTTCATGACACCCAAGGACACCGTACAATTTAAAAAAGAAAAGAAAACGCTAATAGGCAACAGAACATGATAAAAACACAAACAGGAAATCATGGAGGAGACAATCAAGTGGACACAAATGAAACATATAATAGGGAGCAAGTGAGTAGGCAGATTTGAACAGATGGGTTTTTAATTGGGATTTGAATATGGTGATTGTGTCTGACTGTCGGATGTGCGGGGGGAGGGAGTTCCAGAGTCTGGGAGCAGTGCAGCTAAAAGCCTGAGCACCCATAGCCGCGTTCACACCGGAGTACTTTTCCCCGTACTTTTCGCGTTTAGTTCCGTTAGTACCCCTTATGTCGCGTTCACACCAAAAAGAGTACTGAGTGCCGGGAACTTTTACCCCCATCTTTGGTGCCTGCTGAGAGATGGTACTTTCCTGGGGGAAAAAAGTGCCCCAGTTCTGATTGGCTGGGCGAATTGCAAACCACGCCCCGTAAAACTCTGAAATGTTTTGTAGAGCCGCCATTGTATTATCCTCGCATTAGCATTATTAGCATTAGCATTCGCCCAGCGCACAAACGCAGAGAGACTAACTTATGGCAACACAAAACAAAACATGGGAGCAGTGGAGATGAGGAGGAGTCGGCGTTCTGGCGATTTACTCGGAAGGCTTCAGTAGAAGCTGCTGGGAGTCCCAGCAGCTTCTACTGAAGCCTTCCCCAACTCTGGGGTCTTCCGGCCGGGGACTCCGGGTGGCAGTATACGCCGTGAAGTGGTTTGCGGCCTGCCAGTAAACCCAAAGCAGAAGAAGACGAAGTGACGTCAGCGGCTCATTTGCGTAATCTTCCCTTAGGGAATTTATTCCGGTGTGAATGCGATCTGTACTAAGTGCCCTGGGGTAATAAGTGCCGGCACTAAGTACGGCAAAGTACTTGGTGTGAACGCGGCTCATGGTGACGAGGCGTGGGGTGGGGGCGGTTAGCAGACCAGCAGAGGAGGAGCGGAGGGAGCGAGAGGGGGTGTACTCCTGAAGAAGGTCAGCCAGATATGGGGGGGGGGGAGTTTATGTAGGGCTTTGTAAGTGAGCAGTAGGTTTTTGAAGTTGATACGGGATTGAACAGGGAGTTAGATGAGGATGGGGGTGATGTGTTCTGAGGCCTTGGTGCCGGTGAGGGTCCGGGCTGCAGAGTTCTGTATGATTTGTAGTTTATTGATGAGCTTGGTGGGAATGCCTGAGAGGATGGCGTTACAGTAGTCGGTGCGGGACGTGACAAATGCATTGACCAGGGCTTCAGTGTTTGTTTGAGAAATGGATGGGCGGAGTCTGGAGATGTTGCGTATGTGGAAGAAGGCAGTCCGGGTGATGTTATTTATGTGAGGTGAAAATGAGAGGGAGCTGTCCAGGATGACACCAAGGCTCATTTTTTGTTTTGTGTTTTGTTGTTTGTTTTGTCAACTGTTTTCTCACGCATATAGCCTTTAAAGAGGAACGATATGTTTGACTTCATGAAAATTAGTCACTGAATTCCTGCAAACATCACTCTGTATTATGCCATCAAATATTTGGTATGTCCCAATACAGTTTATGTCGAAAGCATGATGCCATCCGGTCAGTTTTGCAATTTGTTACAGAAAGAGTAGACATACGTGTTGAGCTGTTCCTTTAAAATATTGCATTTTCAGGGTCATAATATTAAGAAGATAAGATAAGAAGTACTTTATTGATCCCAAGTTGGGAAATGTTTGTGTTGCAGCAGCATAAAAGACATGGCATTGTACAAAAACAATTAAAAGACAAGAAATAAACAAGAAAGTAGAACATGTACAACAAAGAAATAATCTACCTAACACAAATGTCCTTACTTTTTGTGTTAAGTTTAATTTATTCAAGGGAAATCAATTAAGTTGAATTTGGCAGACAAGACAAAACAAGAAGCCAAATGTAGAAACCCAACATTACCTTGATAAAATACAAACAAAATGTAAGGAATTATAAATGTTTTAAGCTTAATTTTCAGCATTGACACAAATCAACCAATTTAAGGACTAATTAAAAACAAAACAAACATGTAGTTTGTATTTGTTTTCGGTTTATCATGGGACCTTGTCGATATAATTACTGTGGCGGCTCAATCCCCAGTTGCGTTTGAGTCGCCGAGAGGCTAAACTTGGCTATAAACTGTGACGCGTTTTCGAAGAGAAAGTCCATAGTGAAGCAAGATAGTTTTTGGGATATTTAATAAACAAAATCATAACATGGACAAAACGGTCAACAGAAAAAACGACAGCACAAGCTCACCCTCTGTCATCCGCACTCGACATGAAACAGGTGACTTAAATACACAAACCACACCCATGTGACAATTACCGGAAGTGCTCAACAAACAAATAAAAGTGATGTAAACAAATAATAATACAAATAATGAACTTGGGCTAAGTAGCATTATGGCACCTACAATACCGGCCCCTAATTATCATTTCACAAAATTATAATTACACTATAATAAATGACAATACACACAATATACGTCCAGATCTCTTTCTTGAATTCTTTTTGTTCAGAGTTCATAAATTGCAGTCTTTTTGGAAAAGTGATCTTTACTCACTAATCAGTATCAGTAAAAATGCTTGGTGTGGTTTGTGTGTGTGCAGGGGGCAGGGGGCAGGGGGCAGGGGGCAGGGGGCAGGGGGCAGGGGGCAGGAGACAAAAAATAAAATAAGACAAAAAATAGTCCGTTTAGACTTGGAAAAAGTCCTCTGCCTCCTGAAGAAGGCTAACTTCGTTAATTGGTCTGCTCAAGAAACCAGTCTTGGTCTTGATCCGAAGCATACGTACGAGTCCCTTTTCTTCTTGTTTGCCACCATGTTCTCCATCCGAGGGATCTCAATCCTCTTTTCCTCTGTGGCTTTTTAGACTCTTTAATCGTTGGCTTCTATATATTGACACTATTTCCATATTCACACCAACATTTCATTAAGCTGGAAAAGAGAGAAAAGGAGGAGTTTCAAACGTCTCTCAATTTGACTTGTTCCAAACTAAGATGGCAGCCGGAAGTGTAAACCTGTCTTATTCTTCTTCCTCGTTGGTTTCGCTTGCAATTTAATATCTTGTAGTTCCTCTTTGATAACATGTTTTTCTGCTTCCATTCCTGGTGCTTTTTGATTGTTCATCTGGATTTCAAGAGCCTTATACGCTTCTTCTTCTTGTGAAAGTTTACATTTCAGGTTTGACATTTGGCTCATTAATCCGTGTACCTTCAGCTGTTGACTGGC